GGACTTTCTCACTTCAACATAGATTCAAACTACTTTTTACCTGCTGATCACAGCAAATATAGCTGCCATTACACGCGTGTCTTTGCTGCTCCTGCTCCATGCAGTCTGTACGTAGCATAGACCTTGTTCCAGTTCAATGTTTATTAACCAGCAGGGTGTGCTTACTAACATGATATTATTCATGTCTTTTTTTTGTTATTAGTATTAGAGCAAAATTGTAATATATTTCTTTTAAACACTGTTTATCGCTGTGTGATTAAATAAAGATCTGCAGATTTTTAGTGCAGTTTTGAGTGAGGGTGATGTCCAAGGCAGCCATAGTGGACCTTTTGGGTTGAGGTTGCAACAAACTCCCTCCTGGCCTGATTCTGACTTCACATTACCTTTTTGTTATTTTTACCAATTTAAATGAAGACCAGAACTAAATTGGTTTGATTTATATATTTATTTGGACTTTGTTTATTTCTCACCAATTATCACCTGCAGCAGCTGACGCCAATCAGAAGGACGCCTCTGATTGGTGGTCTCTGATGTTGGTGTTAAAGGTGGAACTAATAGTACCAAATCATAGTGTAGACCACTGTTGATCGAAGGAATCGGTGCATATTAAAGTGTATCCCTAGATAGACTGCATCCTCTGCAGACCTTTTTGGCCCAGTAAGCAAACTACAGGTGGTCAGAATGGGGCCTGTGATCTCCTTCAGATGCTCCCACATCAGTCACTTAAAAGATTTCATGACCACAGAGGTCAGAGCTGCAGGCCTGCATCGTTTAACCCCTTAATTGTGCGTATCCCTGGAACTGGGATGATGGTGAAGGGTTTGGAAGTCAAAGTGAACATTTCACCACTGCAGTGATTTGTTGAAAAACTGAGTGAAAGTAGAAGCCAGATGGTCTGCTTCCAGGTGGACACCATCTTCCTCAGAAATGGGATCTGAGGGAAATGCAAAGCATTTTGTTTGAGTGAGACTTGTGAGGTCGAGGATATTAGTCTGCATGTGTTCCAACAGCAGGGGTTTTCACCGCCTTCTGGTAAAGGCTTTGTTTCAAATGTGACTCACCTGAAGGTTCACTTTGTTTGCATTTAAACCAAAGAAAGTTCTTTTAGCAGCATCCCCTAACCCTGAATCAAATAGCTAAGCTACCATGATAGCATTAGTCAAGCTTTGCTAATTAGCTCATATTGAAGTCAGGTGTGTCAGTTTACAAGATAGACACTATCACAGGTCAGACCAATCACAGGTCAAAACTCCTGAGAAGTGACGCATTTAGAGGGTACATCTAAAGATTTAATGGCTGATTAGATTTTAGTTTTTTTTTAGCATTTTGAGACTCTTGACTGTTTTTAGCAGCAGTGAATCTCTTGGGCTGTTTTGTCATTATTTTTCTGTGCTGACATCTTGGAAGGTCCTTGATCTGGAGGATCCAGCAGTCTAAGCCTATAGCAGCAGAACTATAGAGATAGCTCAGGATAACCTGAGCCACTCTAACTATAAGCTTTATCAAAAGGGAAAGTTTTAAGCCTAGCCTTAAAAGTAGACAGGGTGTCTGCCTCACGGACTAAAACTG